ATAGACATATTTTTCTCCACATACCTCAAAGCAGTTGTTACTGCTCGTACAGATGCAGCAACAACTTTGGGATTTTTCTGTGTAAAACCTTTCATCAGTTCCTCTTGAACCACTTCATATTTCTCAATTTCACAATACATGAGAATCACCTCCAGTGCTTTTTCCTGTGTACCGCGTTTTGGTGCCGCTAAACATTTTTGAACGATTCCATTTGTAACATCTGCTGTCGTCCTGGAGAAATGAAGAGATGATTAATAATACTAATACTATATCAACATATATTGCAAGTGGTAATTTCACATGAGGGTATAGATATTTTTAATTTTGTAAATATATTGACATACAGAATAATAATGTTATTAATGGGATTTACTTAGTTTTCTTAACTTATAGTATGTAAAAGAGAAAAAAAAGTTATAAATCATCCTACAATCTAAACCACTACTCAATGAAAACAAGGATTCACTACCACATAAGAATTCAAGATAGGAAATAAAGAGAAATTTACCTTCCAGCCACATGCGCATTTTCCACAAAAGCCAGTACAGCTTCCAATGCTTTCTCTTGTGCAACTGCATTGCTATCTGTTACAAATTTTTTCATAAGAGGAGCAAATTTGTTGAATTCTGGGGACCGTTCATCCACAATCTTTGGGAAGTGCTTTGTGCATTCTTCATATCCACTCAATCGTGCCTTCCAGAGCTGAAATCACGAAGACTTCGGTCACAAAAATAACAATTTCATACACCCAAATTCAAGAGTTTCACATGGCATTCCAAAACGAAAAGGATTATATGGCTCTAAGTGAAAAACAATAATTCTACCAAGGAAGATGAATACATAACTGATTTAATAATTTGAATACTGAAAAACCACACACTTCATAGTGACAAAAAAATTGTGAATGAATGCATACATAATTCCACAGGGTGATATATAATAAACATTGCAAAACCTCTTTATGTAAAATGCACCGTTCAAATATTAATTAGCATTCATATCTTTCCCACACGTTTCAAAGAACTTCAGTTATTCCAAGTTTAAAGACATAGGAGATAAAAACAAACTTCTACTTGAACACTATCACTATCAAACAACTTCATTTCTTCAAAACTACTTACTCATCACCAACAGAGACTGTTTCCTAGGTTTAAATAATGGTTCACTTCTTAGATATGAGGAAGTCCTCTAACACAAAAAATCACTTCTACACTCACCTTGTGGATACACCTGTCCTCCAGGGGAAGCTTGAGGTATTCTGTGTCTTCTTCCATTGTAACTAATTATCTGAAATGTAGAAGGAAAACAATTAAACATCTAATGTATTTATGAACAATAGTAGTAATAATAATAATAATAATAATAATAATAATAAAAAAAATAATAATAATAACAACAATAACAATGATAATAATAAATAAAAAATAAAGAGAATAACTATTAATAATAAAAACAATAACAATGACAATAACAAAGTACTGTCTCTTTAATTAAAAATGATGAATAAAATTATTCAGCATTACTAAACTTATGCCTGTATGTATCATTAATGAGTCTAATTATTAGAGAAGACTCTAATGTCTCCTCTCTTCACAAAGCTCACCCCCTAGCTATAAAAAAGTGTCTTTGAAATGTCTTTTTATAATTTTCCACTATTCACTCTTTCTTAGTGATCCTACAGAACTTGCTAAAGCCATATAATAGCATAATGAAATGCCAAGAATAAACAAAACAAGTCTGTCCTAATCTAAGAGGCAATGTTACCTAGCTTTGCAACTTCATATGCTCAATCAATGAAGCTGAAGCCTTATGCACAAGCACATATGCTGCTTCCTCATTATTAAAAAAAAGTATCATCATTACTTTAAGTCTTACTATTGTTACATTTATTACAATCATAATTATCATCATCATCATTATTATAACTAACCTCATCAGTATCACTATTATCACTATCATAATGACTTTTATAATAATTATCATTATTTTAATTATATTCATTATTCAATACAATTAAATACAGCCTTTCAGGTGCCTCTTCAACCTTTTCACAATATTTCAATAGTTGTTTTCACATTCTCTTCTCTAAATTCATAACGAAGTTTTGTATACAACTTTATTTCAGCTGATGAAAAAAAACTACTTAGCCAACATTTAAACTGGTGACACAACCATACATACCTACAAATAATAAGCATATATTTCTGGTTATATTTGTAATGTCATGATGAAAATTGTAAACAAAAAGGGAATCAAGTGTTCCATTTTCTGCCCAGTTTTATATTCAAAGTAAATATTTACCAGGATAATTAGGAAATCTACAAAAGACAACTGCTTATGGTTCTAATACAGATCAAATTATAAAAACATTTTCTTCTGCAAAAAGGCTTTACAATAAGCAGAGGAAATAAGACTAAAAAAAAAAAAAAGTTAATCTTTATGATATAGAAGCAATAAGGTGGGGCAAATTGAAGATATTCTTGCTGAGGAAAAAAGTTGCAATCGTTGGTACCAAAAATAATCTGCAGAACAATAATGCCATAAATAAAGGAAAAAATCAAAGAAACCACTGCTCATTAACACTCCCTTGGGCAGAGCACCAATGGCACACCCAGTCAGGGCAAGTTGGATTGTCGAGTTCATTTTGTGACATGGATTTGGGGACTTAGTATCAGGCAAGCACATCCATAATGTGAAGATCTACCAAAAACAAAATAGAATTTTCAACTCTCCAAAATTTACAACAATCAAATTTAAATTATTTGTAGTATATCTATCACAGGCAATTATAAATATATTTTTAGTATGCATTGATCAAACCCACTATCTTACTTTCTCCAGCATGGTGTATTAGAAATGGGGCTGTATTAACTGGGCAGGGTCACATTTAATCAACAAGTTTAAAATGAAGGCCATAAATGTATGCATACTTTCAGGAACAATGAAGACTTAAAAAATGAAAGAAAGAATAAAAAAAAAAGTGATTCATATGGCGTAGATTATTGTCACCTCATTAACCAAGAATTCATTTTGTCTTCTATCGTTTTCTCTACTGTCAGTCTTTGTCCATACTTATACTTTCCTATAAGGAATTTTGAACTGGGGAAGAGTCACAGTTGATCACACTTGCCTCTGGCAATCAGGCAAACCCTGTCAAGTCAGAGACTGTAAAATGAAAATGGGCAGAAAATTGTCACCTACGAAAATTCAGTCATTCACATCCATCACTTTCTCACAGCCAAGTATTCGAGGAGGACCCAATGAAAAACAAATACAGCACTAAGTTCTGTGACACAACCACCAGCTTAAAAATCAAACTGACATCCCTAACTTTTGCCATATTTATTGAAGAATGCTAAAGATAATTGCCATTTCCTCAAAAACAAAAACTACCACAACATGCAATTTCACTAACAAACTAACAACCCTGATATTGTGCAATGACAAATAATGATTTTTTCCAGTTACAAGTTGAACGGCTTGGGCTTGCCAAAACCACCTCTTGTAACCAATGGGGAAGTAACATTTCTAAATTAATATCTACCACTTCCACTTCTCCTTTGTCAGGTTCAACAAACTTTCCTTCACCATGTAATGGCTGCCTGGACACAAGCAAACACATGCAGACATCTCTAAACAAAACAAGCTAATGTTTGCACATCAAATCTCTTGAATGTCTTTCTGCTATACTTCAACTGCTTTTACATCAATGATAAACTAAGATAATGGTTTGAAAGAGAAAATGGACAAGAAAGGTTATACACCTCATGAGAAAAATATATTTACTGTCATCTGCTAAAGGAAAGAGGGCACTGCTTATGCACTAGTGTTCTTCTTTAATGTAATATGATCATAATTTTCCAGAGAAGAAATTAAATGAAAAATGGATTCAGGTTTTTAGATTTCCCAATAAAATATATATATATATTTTTATAAACCATTAAACTAAACTTCTTCCTATAAGTTTTTCAGTTTCTGTCAGTGCTTCCTTTTTGACATCACAGGATCTAAGATATTGATATGCATGAAACAATTGCAAATGTATTCATGAATAATGAACCACCAATTAGGGTAAACACAGGAAATAGTAAATAAATATAATTTTGAATTATCTCATAGCAAACCTACAAAAATTATAAGACAGGAATTCTCTTTAAAAAAAATAAAAAGGGGGAGGGGGGAATTAAATAACTTGGCAATTATCAAAATATCACCTCTAAAATCTTATGGGAAAAAAAGTAGGCCTACATTTTCTGGGCACATTAAGTTACACCACGAAGAATGCGCATACAGACCAAATTACTAACACAAAGTCATAGAAACCATACCAAAATCACAAATAATCATAAAGCAATAATAAAGAAAAAGAGTGAAAGCTGCTCAATATTAGAAAATGAGAACAGAAATCAAAGACAAGCACTCCGAGGACCGAGAAATGCGAACTTACAACATAACGAAAAAAGAAGACATGGCCACCCGACGATCACTTCGGCCTATATTAAACGCTATATTAACGATCCATTCCCGATCCATAATAAAAATAAAACACGTGAATTATTCAAGGAAGGGGGGGGGTACGTCCCTTCACCCCCTCCCCCCCCCTTGACTCACCGCTCAAGAAATGTCACCAAATGCCTTCAACGAATTCACTAACTCATCCACTGACTCATGCCGACCGACTCACGCCCACATCAAAAACGATATAGTAAATAAGCAGCGTCCGAGAATAACAACGAGAAAATGGGGGGAGAAAATGTGAATGAAAATGATCAATGTTGCACTTCTCTCTCTCTCCAAGACAAGGCACCTGAGGAAGAAAACGCTCATTATTCCCTTTTATCGACATACTCCCCTCTCTTTTCCTACGCTAGAGGACGCTACGGTTCTTAACTGACCGGGATCTCCTTAAAATCGCCGCTGAGATGGATAATTACCTCGGAAAATAAAATAAATAAGAAGACACGGTCGCTCCTCCGACTTCTACACTGACCCGAAAATAC